GCTTGATACACTTAGTTTGGCTTCATTTCAAGAATATGGTGAAGGAAAATCCAGTCCGAGATTGATGATGACGACCGATTGTGGACCAGTGATACTTCTCACGTCGCGCATTTGTTTCAAAAGAAAGTGATGTTTCTGCTACAGATTATGCTAATTTATGATGAACCTCTATTGAGTGAGCGGCCAATCTCCATTAAGCGGCCACTTGCCGGTACCCCGAGGGCGGCTGCTTAATGACGGTTCAACTGTAATTTTTTTAGCTCTTAACCAGCCTAGGAAAAAAAAATGGGTCAAAATCGCCCCCCAAAACACTCCTACAGTGCAATTCGACAAAACACCAGCTTAGGATCACGGCAACTTAAAAAAAAAAGCAGACATCCCGTAGGGCGAGTCAAAATAAAAGCTACCAGTGCACAATAATCCGGATATATTTGAACAGGAAGAAAAAAATAAAATAAAATAAAACGCACACGTAATGTTTTCCGTCCGCTCTGATGAGGATACATTTGGAAACGAGACATTGTCAAAGGCACCTCAAGACCATCGAGACGTTAGCGTTTTAGAAAAGTTTCGTTTTCAAAATGCATGTTTTTTAACCACACTAAAATGCCACCAGCGTTCTCGAATTTATCCACATTGATGAGCGATCCGGCTAAGCGTGGACGGAACGTTACTTGATCGCGGGATCGCCGAAAAAAAAATCAGACAGTTAAGATTCGGTCAATCACTGGGCCGGGGGAGACCAAAGACTTCCAGATCAGTCGTTAAAAAATTGTCTCTTCTCCCGACAAATTCATTTCCATCGTCAGTGAGTGAGGCTCCGAAGCCAGATTTCGAAAGTGTATAGCCAAATCTACGATTTCCTACTAAACACAACGTTGAAATGCAGTTTCTTCCTGTAGATCCAAAAGTTGGTCCAAAAGAAGAGCCACACCTTATTCCTCCAACTACTACATCTATGTCTTTAGAAGGTTCTGGATATATCTTCTTTGGAGCAAAGCCCTTTGGATTGTGTAAACTGAACAGAAAAGATGACGGACACGGAATCCAAACAGCGCGCTCGGAGGCTGAAAATTTAAGAAACCAATTAAGGAGCAAACATTTTCAAGGTCAATAATTTCAGAAAAAAAATTAAACTAAGGTTAAAAAAAAAGTTTTAGTTTCCATCTTGTTTTAGTAAACGCTTTGGGTACTTAACCCTGTATAATTAGATAGGGGTATGAAGGAGGTGGGGGGCGGGAGGGGTGGTGAGAATGCAAAATCGGCCCTTTGGGTGTAGCGCAGTTGTCGTCTTGTGAATCCTAATCTGGAAGAGTTTTCCTAAATTCCCAGCTCAAACGTATCAGTTTTAAATTGATAACGCATAATTACTTCTCCATGAGTAGGTCGAGTATGATCGTCCAGGTGAACGTACTGCGGTAGTCGTATTCAGAGTCAAAGTGAGTTGTATCACTTCAGTTAATAGCATTAAACTCTGGTTATTGAGCTGATTGGTCAATTAAGTCGCGATGTTATTCAGGACTACGTTCAGCCGGACGATCATACTCAACCTACTTTAAATGATTGAAATGACTCCCGGGTTCAAACCTTTCACAATTATTTCTCCGTTTTAAAACAAATCGTACTTGAATTGCTTTCCTCCTTCCCTCATCATCACGTATCGTATGCTTCGCCAAGAGGTCCAAACTCTTACGCAAATCTTTCCTTTACCCTTTCGTATACAGTTTTTGATGACAAAGGCACCCCATGCAATCACATACCAATGGAAGTGTTTTGGTTGATAACTAAGCAACTTTGATTTTCCCGGCGTTTCTCGTGAATAACTTCTAAAAATACTTAAATTAATCAAGGGCACCTGCGTCGCTTTAACACAGTTAAAAATAGTTTCTAATACCACATACAGTAGAACCTCGATATAATGAAGTGCCAAGGGACTGGCAACATACGAGGTTCGTTATATCCAGGTTCTTTTTCATATATTTACTATTAATCGGACGAAGAATATCGTTCGTTACACGAAGGACTTGGTCATATGGAGGTTCGTTATATCGAGGTTCCCCTGTAAATAACGGGTTTCCGTACCCAATAAATCCTAACCCTTTTTATATACCTCTATATACAAGTTACTACTTCTAGGAGGGAGACCAGAACGGTCCATTATAAGAACTTCTCCAGAGGGGGTGGGGACATCCCACCAGTTTTTGTCCTTAAAAATTGCAACCATTTAATTCATTCTAAATTTACATGCAGGATGAAAATTAATCATAGTTACATATAACCATTTCCTCGTTAAAAGGTCTCCTTGTTTTCTTGTCCTGTGGGGGAATATACCACCTTTAACAACGTTTATGACAAAAAAGGTCCGGGTTAAACCCTGGAGACTACAATGCGGGAAGGTGACTAGGGGTGTACAATTACTAGTTAATGATGTGAGTTTTTTGTTTCATTTGTCCCAGTGCTGTCATTGTCAAATTGTCAAGCGGTTATAAATTTAAACTACTTGCAAAATAAGACATCACGTCTTTACCACATTCGACGCACGTATACGAAATGTAAAATGTAAAAAGAAAAATGTTCTAGAAGTTTAAAAATCCTCGAAATATATTTCGCTCTTCGGGCCTCGTCAGTCAATAAAATTCATGTAAGATGCACCAAATAGTCTGCGTGTTTGCCAGTGTCATGTAAGTCAACATGGATTATTCCATTTTACGTGGTCACGTGCGACTACCGCGCGTGGAACGCGGAAATAATTCCATTCGTTCTTAGAGTTCATCAACAAGCCTTCCGGTACTTGATCTATCCGAACACCCTCCGATATCTGCCTCAACATGGCGTCGTTGGAATAAGAACCGGTAACGTTCATTTCAAATTTCTGCATTTCACTGTTGTGTTTCTCTTTACAGTACTTCCTTAAGGCTGACCTCTCTTCCTTGAAAATTGACCTCTCTTCCGTGAAATTTGAAAAAAGAAAAATTGATAAGAAAGAAACCAAACGACTAGGCTAATCAAATTCTTCTTTCTTGCATTGCAAACCCCCTCTTTTTTCGTACAGTTTCAAATGGAATCAAACCACTATGAGATAAAACTGCATTTCCAGACCTGGTCATTTTCTCCAGTTACCGACTAGCCTCTTCCAGGCTCCGAGGTAGTCGGGTTCGCTGAATTGAGAAAGCGCGAACACGAAAACAACCTTTCGGGTGCCTTTTACTTTTGCGTCTTCCCCAATATCAGAGAGCCTGGAACAGGCTAGTTACCGACAAATACCAAGGCAAGTAAAAAACGTAATGGCAACTCCAATGTCAATAAACCATCGATCATGACAAATTTCATCTTTATATAGTACAGCCGTGGTAATCTTTTTCCTATATCCTTGTTAATGCCGACATATTAAACGCTCAAAGTGGGGAAGCATACTCCCTAAAATATCTAGTTGGGCCACCTTAAATTTTCCGGAAAATAATACTGAAGCCCTTGTAATTTGAAGACTCAGGTTTCCCTAGGATGACCGAACAGATACAAATATTATAGCGCCCCTTAAAATTCGTTTCTAGAGATCTAAAAGTACTCTGGGTAGCCTGAAAACTGTGTTCTATGCCCCTGGCAATACACAGTACGTCTATAACTTACGTGTGAACCATGGCTTCTCTGCGTAACCTCCGAAGACATTGTCGTCACTCTTGATGACAACAAGAGTTGGACACTTTCCATCGCACTTCTCATGAAAATTCTCTGCGTTCCAGCCATCCCTGGTTGCTTTGTACAAAAGATGCCATCGGGTATCGCCTGGAAAATCTGTAATCCAGGATAGCAGGGTATTCTCTTCGTCACGGCTGGTTATTATCGAGGATTCTGTGAATATTTTTGGCACAGGGGACAGTTTGTCAATCAGTCCCTCCAAATTAAAGAACTGTGCCTCGGCAAAAAGTTGGCGTTTTATCCTATTCAAAGTCTCTTCACTGCACAACAGCTCACCATTGCGGAGGTAGTTGAGTATGTACCTGTTACCAGACATAAAGAGGAGAATATGTCAAAACTAAGGCGCAGACGGAGATATTAATCATTTCACGATTGTAAATTCAGAGGTCAAAAGAGACTAAATCAGTTTTGGCCCGCGGCCTCATACCCTAATAGGGAGGATGAGTGTTGGGTCATTTTCTCAATACCGATATACCACCGATACCTTACCGATACTCGACCCACAATTCACCGATACATTGTCGACACACTACCTATGCTATCACGACCGACAGGAAACACCACTCGGCAGATATATCGACCGACTCACGATCGACAAATGGGGCGATACTCGACCGAATCTCGACAGACATAGCGGCCGATATGTCAATCAACAGTCGACCAAGATATCGGCCGATACATCAATCGACACCCCCCCGTAAACACATGATCCGATAAATCTGCTATGAGATAGTCTTTTGAGCAAGTCCAAGGTTTATGGTCACTGTTTGAGAAATATCTACTTCTAAAGACTTTTGAGTGTTGTATTCTTTCTGAAAAAGGGCCACTAGTGGTTTTCATGTTGTTACCTTTTCCTCCCTTTAAACTCTGAGAGCCATAAAATATTTAATAGAATTCAAAAGTAAACGCGCACCACGTGCACCGTTTTTACCAGAAACAAGAGTGGTGCTGCACTTTTAGGATGGCACAGTAAACTGGTAAAGCAATATACATGTACCCAATAGCAAAAAAGGCAAGTTACAGCCTCTGAAACATAGGTATTTCCTATTCATTAAACTGAGGACAAGCTGAAAAATCAATTTGGTTACTTTTAATGCCTTGTTATAAAAAGTAACAACTTGACAAAACAAAGCAATAGGATCCGAATCAAAATGTTAGATTAAAGCACTAGGAAAGACTGGATCATCTTAAATGTAAGAGATTTAAGGTGTTTCACTGTTATACGTCCGGTAGTTGAGGACACAGGGAGTTGCATTATTAATTGATTGATTGATTGAGTGATTATTTTTTTAATGGGGCAAAAACGTCACTAAAAAAATTGACAAACAGATTTGTATCGCCCTAGAGCAAGACTTTATGTTGTTTGTGCATTCCCAAAAATATCAATCAAATCTAATCTAAATCTAAATCTTTAATCCCTTCACCTCCAAGTCACGGGAATCGAATTTTGATTGATTGATTGATTGATTGATTGAACTGTTTATTCATCTATTATTGAATAAGGTCTAATGATTTAGGCTGAGCAGGACATAATCAACTCAAATATGGGTTACAATCTCTCACACCTGAGGTTCAAGTACACCCCCCCCCCAGGAGGGGGGGACTCCCCTATATAAGCCATATAGCTATGTGCCACCCCAAAGGGTGGGGTCTTTACAGCATTTCGGTCTTAACGGGTTTAGACTTTGCCTAGTTTGGTCTGGAATCCGGTATGGTTTTTAAGGGAACCATGGGATATGAATATATTTACCACTGCAGTTCCAAATGACTAATATGCAAATTTGAAAGGGATTTTAAGAATCTTTTTTTTTTTTTTTTGCTGTTGTAATCTAAGTAATGATCACAGTGTTTCTTAGAGGCCAGGTCTGAAAATGGGTTTGAATAATGACATTGGTCTGAAATAGCGTCAGAATTCAGACAACCAGGCAGGACACACACACCAATAATTCCCAGGAGTAACCCCCCCTTGCCCCTTGGACACGCACACTCAATATTGGAATCAAATTATTCAAGTTAAAACCGAACCATCCAGTTTACCTGAAGAGATCTCCATCCCGGTCAATGAAGAATGAGCCATCTTCATCTAGATTCTCTTCAAATCGACCAGAAAACATGGCTGCCAACATTGAATCTGGGTCCTTTGTCAGGGTTAATAGAGAAGTCTTGAAATAGACACCTCCAACATTTAGCTTCACAGTTTTTTTGGTGTTTTTCTCAAAGGATGTCATTTTCTGTTGTATAATTAATAAAATGATATTTGTTAAATTATTTAATTTATTTAGTAGCATTGGCCTTTTTCACACTAGAGATGGATTATCCCTCTTTGGGTGCTTTTGATTTCAAAAGCATATTCCAGAAAAAAATATTTATATGTATATGGAAAAGCTTTGTTGCAAATTTCTTGTACTGTAATGATTTTTAGGCCCCTTAAAAATTACATGTACATACATCGGAATACTTCATTTCATAAAGATTTTTAGCTTTTGAGAGGAGAAGCTGTTATGTCTTGTTGCCATGGTAGCAAAAGTTCTGGATGACAACAAACGGAAAACATTACTTAAAAAGTGAATTCACATTGTTTCAAACTTCATTGATCTTATTCAATTTCATGTTGAGTCAAATGTTGGTGAAATTTTCTGGCGTTGAATCTGAGAGGACCATATCTAAGTTTAAAAAAAAAAAAGAAAATTCTTGTGTCGTGTTCACGTACACCATGAAGCAGGCGCATAGAATGAGGACGTTTCATGTCACAGTCATGCAACGATGGCTAAGAAATGTAATGCATAGTTGTTTTGTTAACTAAACCTATTGCTTTTTTGCCACTCTCTATGCCGTCACTGTTGTTGTTGCTTAAGCTTCCTATTACTCTGATCCAGAAATTTTGCTACCATGGTAACATGACATCACATCTCCTCTCTATTGCCAAAATGGGTGATTTTTAGAGTTCATGAATTCCCCTTATTCTTATTCTGGAATCTGGTCAATCAACACTCTTAGACAGATAATCTGTCTTGATGGTAAAACTGGACTATGTTTTGGGCGGATAATTCATCTGATATTATCCATCTGTTTATCCGTCTTTTTGGATTTTGAAGACAAATTATACTACTCATACGAATAATCTGTCTAAAGGCTTGTCCAAGCAGCACACTACATGATTTATAGCCCCCTCAAGAGTTGGTTCAGAAGTAGTGCTAACTTTAAAAGCTTTTCAACAACGTAGTAAATTAGAGCTTTCAAGTTTTCTTGACATCAAATAAGCAATGGCTACCTTTTTAACAGATTGAATTAACTGTGTGAGAGCTTTGAAGGCATGGTTTATCCTTCTAATATGAATCCATGACAATGCAAACTTAAAATGGTTATCTGTCTAGAATTCACACTAAGACAGAAAAAGTATGGTTACCAGATGGATTAACCATCTGTGGTGTGAAAATGGCCAGTTAAGCCAAGGTGAGTTGTATATTGTGACACTACTATTCATTCAAAATATTTCCCCATTTTTGATTGGCTGAAATCCTACGCATAATTCATTTTAGTAAAATCCATGCAACTAGTGGTCTATTATCAATGCTTCATTTTGATTGGTTGAGCTACTACCAGGCTATATGTTATAGCCCACTAGTAGCGAAAAGTACCGGCTTTGAAAACCAAAACAATGGCGGCTGAATAGCGTTTTGCTAGATAAAGTTAGTTTTGACCAACTAGTTGGATTTTACTAAAACATTTATTCCTCTCGCCCTCATGGCCTCTGAGTCAATAGCCCATTTGGCTAAAAAATGTAATTGTTTTTGGGCACCTGCCTATGATCTCTTCACCTCTGCTCGCAAAGTAGTATTTCCCACACCAACCTCGACCGGTGTTCAGAGATTTAGGAACACGTGGTCGTCTCTGTGAGAACTAATTTGTCACAAAAAAAGTTCAACAGTCCTTTCAGAACCAAAGTTTTGGACCCTCCCGATCAAAAATTCCTGGATCTGCCCCTGCCTTTATCTCTTAAACTTGCCGATAAACATGCATTATCGAAAATGAACTTAACATCGATGGAGGTAAGCATGTTTTAGCTTGTTTTTATATGAGGAATTCTTTTGAACAAATAATAAGACAATTGTTCAATTCGGCTTTCGTATCATCTGAAGAATTATGTAGATCTCAGGGGGTGTTATCCGCCGAGGCCATTATTCTTTAGACGATACTCAGCCTCATTCAATAATTGTTAAATACTACAGAGGCCCTGCCAGGGTAAATTCTGACAAGCGACATGGCCCAAAAAGTAGCGATGTCAGCGCGCAAAATGAAATCGCGACAAGAGACAACCTCCCTCAGCCAAATTGCAACAGTGACGGCAAAGCCAACAATAAGCGACAAGCATTTATAAACATCGACACGAGACGTTTTCAAATTCCGACATGGGACATGGCGACATGGGATCCTTCCGGCAGAGCCTCACTACAGTCAACCCCGCTAAAACGCACAATAAGAGGGCCGTAGCAATTGTCCGTATTTACGGGCTGTCCATATTAAGCGGGTTTAATTTAATAGAAAATGTAAGTGCTTTCTTTTCCCGGGAGAAAGCAAGCTGTCCGTAATAATGAGGTGTCCATATTTATAATAAGCGGGTGTCCGTAAAGAAGGGTGTGACTGAATCGTATATCAAATATTAAACGGGTGAATTTGTCTACGAATTACCGAAAACGAGACTGGGTTATTCGTATAAAGCTAATCTTACCAACGAAGTGCATAAAACAGTTAAAGGACCTCTTAAAGCGTCGTAAGACAAACCTCCAAAAGTAAAATCAGCAGTAGCGGAGCGGGATGAGTGGTGGAGGCAGGTACAGACTTTCCTGTCAGCGGTGAATTGCGTTCTTCTAAACTGCTTCATGTATCCATAACATGTTCTCCCGGTTTTCAAAAAAGACCGTGGGCACGAGGCTGGGCAGCGAAAGTCTGCTTTCGAGAATCAAATTTTTTAATCGAAAATTGCATTTGCTTTCTATTTTGCCATCTGGAACTCGGATTAAAAACTGTGCAGTATTCTGCAAACTCCAGTTCTGTGTTCCGTAGCGGGGCTCTCGCGAGCGAAGCGTGGGCAGCGTAGCACCATGTGTAAGAAAATGAAGTAATCTACCCATCCGATAAAATTTGGTAATCACGTGACCATCGGCACGCGTGCCCACCCATCCGTCCGCACCAAAGGCAAACCAATGTAAAATAACTCAATCAACAGGTATGGCAACCCAAATGCAACTCGAGGCTATTTTGGCGGGAAATCGCATAGCGACCGGCGTCTTGTAAAGCAGAGACAACTAAAGAGTCGATGAAAAACGAAAAGCGGAAATTGTTTCTGTATCCGTGTTGTCCAAAGTATTAAGCTTAGACTAATTGTCATGTCCCCAAATTTGGAATATAGAGCAAGAGAAAGACAAAGAAAAAGAGAAAGTAGGCGGCAGGCCAGCGAAGCTCAAATAGAAAAAGGGCAACAAAAATCTAGAGCGAGAGATAAAAAACAAAGGAGACATTTTTTTTGTTGGAGGAACAGCATAAAAAATTTCGTAGCGGCGGTGACAAAATGAGAAATTCTAGCGGCCACCAATACATGCAAGGTGAAAATGAGTGCAGTGAAAAAAAAGTGAACGCGTACACGGACGACATTTCCTTCATAAAACGTATAACTAAGAAGTTTCTGGAAGTTTCACGTTGCAGTCGTGCAAAACAATGGCAAAGAAATGTACAAAAAAAGTGTGCTGCACGTGCGAAGTTGCTTTTTTGCTAATAAGACCTGTTGTTGTTTTTCACCGTACTCCGGCGTTGCCTTCGCCGCGCTTAGCATTACTCGATTTTATATTTTTTTTTTAACAAACTATAAATATTATCGAGAACTTCGATTTCAACCCTGGCTAACTCTATATATAAGTACTTACTTACTTTCTAAGAAACTGAAAATCTGGCTTGACCTTGGGTAAAATGAGGAACCGGGCTTTGGATTAGACGGGAAGAAACCGGATGTTAAACTTATGTCAGATTTGACATGAATAAATGAACAAACAAAAAAAGAACAAGTAAATTAAGGCCGCCTAGCCGTTGTGAACGCTTTGCAAATGGCCATAGACTTTTTCAACGTGCTTCGTTGATTACGGGTCTGCCAGTGCACCAGCCTACCCCTGACCCCTAAAAATGCTATTAAGAACTGGTTTGTTGTGAGGTTTTCGCTTAACTTAGAGGACAAATTTTCAACATAGTTAGCGATTTATTACTTGATATATGCGATTGTAACTGGGATGGCTAAGAGTTCCATATGTAGCTCATTGTGATTTGCAGAGTAATCCAATTTTTTTGGGCGTGAATTACTTTACATTAATATTATTGTGGTCAATTCTCTGCGTTTGATGATATGGCTCGAAGATGAGCAGCAGGAATTATATATCAGTGGATATGAGGCCATTCTACTGGATTTGAAAAAACGATTGAGAGATTTCAAATTTGGTAATATATCATCGTATATAATGTAACTAAAATCTAAACATTTCTCAGGTTAAAGCATAATTTTCCTTGTCTTTTATGAATAATTCGTCCTACCAGAAAAGGGGATTCTGACCTCCACGTCAGTTTGGTTTCTCTTAGTGCGAGGGCACTTCCAGTTTTGTGGCGATCGCTGCCAAAAATGTGTTACACCTAGCAACAGTTTGTCCTTGATTCATCAAGTTTGGCTCATGCCGAGTGAAAAAAGGATCATTTTTAAGCTCAGTCACTTCTTCCCGGCGACACAAGTAAGATGTAGCCTGCGTGCAGACGATAACTAAACTCTGATTAGTACCGTCTGCGAAGCAGCGCAGAGATCCTTGTTCTGGACCCCCAACGGACTCAACGAATTACCGGAAGTGCGTTTCGAATTCCCCTTCAACCTGATTGGCGATCACGACAAACAAAACGAAGGCCTTTTTTAACTGGCCAATCGTGGCGCGTACTCAAATCTGGGTACACAGCTGGAAGTCCAGAACAAGGATTTCGGCGCTGTTTCGCAGACGGAGTTAACCAGAGTTTAATTTCGTCTGCGCGCAGGCTAGTAAGATGTGACTATGCAAAAATATAGTTTGTTTCGGAAAATGAACTCGAAGAGCCATAACATGTGGAGTTATAATTAGTTCGAGAAGTCTAATACGGTTTTTCTACAACGAGAACATTGGAAATTATCCTCGACTGTGGAAAGGTATACTTTGCTTTAATAGGGAAATCGGCAAAAACCAAACTAAAACCAAGATTATAGACCTCAGTTTTATCACAATCAGGCTCTTTTATTGTTACACTTTTTCACTTATGACAACTGATATCGATATAAAACTACATTTGTACAGGCATATTTCCCCTTCATTTTCCGATTTCGTGTTTCGAGAGATAATCATTTCCTGGGGTCTTGTCGAGTGAATTACTTTTTGTCTTTTTCGTCGCCAAGTCTTTTGGTGCATTCATGGAACCTCACAAAACAGCACAGCTTCTCCTCGCAGGTCTTGCTTCCCAGCATGCAGCACGGGATGACTGGTAGACATTTTTTCTTGAATAGGACAAAACACAAATGGATAGCATAATTGTCAACAGGGTGAGATTAAACTTAGGTAATGCAAGCTATACTGGTTTGCGAACTTCCTCGTCTTCTGACTAGCCTCGGACGCCTTCAAACAAAGAGAATAGAAAAAAGAAAGCTGGAAGATAACTCCCAACTTCTCCGTATGACTTTTGAGAGCTCCACGCCGATCCATGGCGTGTTTGGTAATAAGTCACGATCCTTTCCTTTTCCGGCTTAAGACTTTGCTAAACCATGTCTTACGGGCTCAGCTGTTATGTAGTAGAGATAGTTTGGAGTACAGAAATACCAAAATGCTAGACTACTGCAACCACGGGAAACAGTAAGCTTAGAATTAAAAAAAGTCGCTTGTACGTCTAATTTACACGGTGGCTGCGAGTAGACAATTCACGAGACTGAGTGTTCGCTCATCCCACAGAGCTTTGGCTGTCACTGTAACAACCAATCCGCCCTACTGCCTGAGATTTTTTAAACGTCTTGCATACAGTTAGGTCTATTCGCAAACGTTTTATCAACACTTACTATAGCTGGAGGCATTTGGCAAACTTTTACGCCCGCTTTTTTCAGGCATTCTCCCGTTTTCTTGATGCACGCTAGATGTGCACAAGCGTCCTCATTTGCTCTTTTATGGCATATCACTGCTCCAACGATGCAAAGTTTCTAAAAAAAGACAAACAAACAAAAACTTGAGAATTTTTGAATTTAAGATGAAAATTCTCAAGTCTAAAAACCGAGGTGCAAGACCTGTGCGCTCGCTCCTCCTGACCGTTTTATTTTTCTCCTGGTGGGGTGCATGCGCAGTGCCGCTTGCACCTTTATGTTTGCCGTACTGCAATGAGTTTTTTCCTGTGTGTTTCCACGGTTTTCCAGCTTTATGTGTTTTATTAAATAAATGGCTGAATTCATTAAATCATTTGTGTTTCTTTTTTCGCCAGCAAAAAATGCGAAAGCAAATTCCCCAGCGACTGGAACGAAAAATAGGCAAATAAGGGAATAAATAAATGAATAAGTGAATAAGACCTTGGCTGCCTAAACTTCGCCACCAAGGCTCCTCCTCCTTATTCTCCTTAAAAAGTAAACTATAATCTATTCTTAGCTTTGGTTTCTTCTCAAGTAAGTCTGAGAGTGAAATCGTCAAGCTACAGGTCAGAACTCTACACTGTGATTCTGCGGTGAATGCAAAAGAGTTTTGTGTAGCTATAATTTTTGAAACCTACAAAATAGA